AAAGAAGAGCATCACAACAGCCTTCTTATGATGAACTGTCTAAAGACAGAAGAGTGCAAGTAACATTAATATTGATGACAGACATAAGTCAATTAAAAGATTCAAATACATTCAGGTATTAATAACTAAGGAAAACTACAGGGCAGTAGTAATAACCTGACCTTCATTATTATGAAATTGCATGAGATGTACACATACATTCATAGAAATTATTTGAAAAGAAACAAATTGTGCAATAATCAAGTTTTTAAAATACTGATCATATGAAACTAATTAAACAAAAATAATAATTATTACTACTACTACTATTATTATTATGTATAGTAATATTTATAATTATATTAATATATTATTTAATATTAATAATAATTATCTATTAAAAATGAATAATATTTATTGTTATTATTAATTATCATAACATAATATTTAATAACAATTAACATGTATGATAACGTAATGTAATATTATTTATGATAATATTATTAATATATCATTTAATATAAGTATCTATTAAAATAACAATAATTAAATATTATTATTATTTATTATATATTAATAATAATACAAAATAATGAATTTATAATAATAATAATTGTTATTATTCATTATTGTATACTATTTAATATTAATAATAATTACAATGATTATTATTATCATTGTTAACATTATTAAAAATGTATTATAAATAACAATTATTATTAATATTATAAATAATTATTTATTATGTAACTACTAAAGTCACCAATACAGTTGAAAACATTAATAATATGAATCATATTAAACTTAATAATTATTACTTCTACTACTAATAATTGTTATTCTTAGTAGTAGTAGTAGTAACCAGTATAATAATAATTTGTAATAATATTCATAATGTTAATATAGTATTTAATAATATTAATTATTATTATCATTATTTAAAAATAAAATAGTAATTAAATATTATTATTTATAATTTATATAAGATGACTGAAATCAATCTAAACTGAAGTGTTGCAGAGACACATGACGTCATAAACTGGAAACATTGTTTTATCACAAGTATGAAATTGCGTATGAGATGTATGCATAAAATGTCTAAAAATTGTTTGAAAAGTGAAATTGTGCATTAATGACTATTAAAAATATTTATAGAAAACAAGACAAAAATAATAAGAAAATCTGTTTGGCAGTTTAAAGTTCAAAATAATTAAAAATGAACATTTAATAAAATGTTCTAAATAAGAGTGCTCTGAAAGTTAAAAAATGTTTTTGCTAAATATTAATCATTTAATAACTCATTTACAGTTAACTGTGGTCCATTTTACATTTACATGTACATTTAGTCTTTTAGCAGATGCTTTTATCCAAAACGACTTACAAAAGAGGACAAAGCAATCAAAACAAAAGAGCAATGATACACAAGTGCTATAACAAGTCTCAGTTAGCTTAACACAGTACATATAGCAAGGTTTTTTTTTATTATATAATAAATAAAAAGAAAACCGATAGAAAAAGAATAGAGCAAGCTAGTGTTAGAGGCCTTTTTTGCTTTTGTTAATCAGAAGTCAGAAAGTCAGAATTATAATTGTATAATAAATAAAAAGAAAACAAATAGATACTATTCCCACTCTCCTAAACCCAATAGTGTGAGTGAGACGGTAACTTGCACAAATAACTGTAGACTGTATGACCCGTTAACAGTTAATCATTTATTCCTTTTCTATTTTTAGGAAACTAGACTTCTTTGAAAGAATTGGCTCTGTTTAAACGAACGAATGAAATAAAACAAATAGTTGATGAAAAGTTCTCCACAACTTTGATAAGCACTTCTGTTTAACACTTCATACACAAGTTTCCCAGAATTCATTTCAATATCAAAACACGCAAATTGATTTCCAAAAACACTGGATATATCAAACAAAACTCTGAACCATATAAATGACTCTTGAATTCAAATGATTCACTTCATTTAAACTCTGAAATGACTTCAAATGACCTCTGAAATGACTCTTGACTCAGTTCAAATGAACTCTGAAATGACTCTTGACTCAGTTCAAATGAACTCTGAAATGACTCTTGTGATTCAACAGATGATTCAGTTTTCACACCAAACCCAGTTCAATTGCCTAGTTCAAGTTCTCAGTTCAGTTCAGTCTGAATCAGTAAAGAGTTCATGTGTGTAAGTGCAAAGAATGTTTGTACCAGTCTGTAGCAATGGTGAAATTGATGCGATGAACATTCTATGGTTACTATTATACATAAAACCCCTTATACAACACTGAATATGTATACTAAGATACAAAAAAAAGTTATTATCCCACCGGTCACTATTGTTGCCATCAACATGTTTACTCATTCTATGTCCACACTCAACAGAACTGAATAATTGTGAATTCATACAGAGTTTTGGCATGAAACTCTAGATGGCGCAGTCCGATAGGTCTAACTCAATCTGACCTAATGACATCATTATCACATGGCACAGCTGATTGGTTCTCTCTTGTATCGGTAGCCAATGAGCTCGCTGCTCAACATTCAAATATATGA